CTTGACCTTGTGGTCACACCATTTCTATCTCCAGGAACACATTGTCTTCTCCTTTTCTGTGTAACTTTTCTTAAGTAACTTTCTTTGGCTTTTCCTTTTTTAAACACATTTGTCATTGGATTCTGAGGTTATCTAGATATCCCAGGATGATTTCAAGTCTCTAAATTAAACTGACAGTTTCTGGGGATTAGGGTGTAAACGTAACTTTTGGGGAGCTATCTTTCAACCCATGACACATAGCTCCTAGAATTTTTGCTAAGAACATCAGAACATCAGCCACATTTATGAAACAGACAATAGGATATTAATGTTTGTCCATATTTTTTTAAAAGTTGCATTTGTTTTAAAATTAATCATTATGTTTATAAGGAAATAGCTATTTATTTGGCTATGTGTAACCAGAAGCCTCTCAACTGCTTACCAAGTAGCCAACCTTGTCTGGAATAAAAGAATTACCATCACATACATCAAATCCCCCGAAATATCACACATCATATCCCCTGAAATGATAGCCTTTTCCAAAGACTGTACTTTACTTTCATCACTGACACTAAATATCACTGACACTACTTACTAGTCCCTATCTTCTCTTTCCAAAAGAATTTATTTCATGATTTTGATTCTGGATACTAAATAAGTCTCAATTATTCACATAAACAAAAAGGCCAGATTAGCTAGGTCAGTATTTAAATTGAAAAGAGATTTAAAATTTAGTGCATAAATTTAATCTACTCACCTCCCTGATTCTATGTGACAAGAATACCTTGTACTGATTCCAAAGTGGGAAGTAACAGGACACTCCATATGCAGTAGTTTCATGGGGACATACTTTTGCTTTTATATTGAGCCTTATCATGACAAATTACTATTAATAAAAAGATCTCTTTTGTCTAAGTAGTTCAGTGTTTCAAATGTATAATTAATTTATACTAATCCAATTAAATAGTCACAAAGCCATTTGGGGAGAGTTGTAAGGCATTCACCTCAGTAATTTCTTTGAAATGGCATACGCTGTCAAAAGACACATCAATCAAAGAAAGACTATCAAAAACAAAAACAAAGAATCTGGAAAAGAGCATTCATACAAAGTACCTGTAGCACTGCACTATCCAGTATGAATAAAAGAATATAAAATCACTCATTTATACATGTTGAAATGGTAATATTTTGAGTATGCTGGATTGTTATAAAAATTAATCTCACCTGTGTCTTTTTCCTTTTTAATACAGCACCAGAAAATCTTAAAATTACATTAGTGACTCGCATATTTCTGTTGGACAGCGCTGCTATCAAGTAATACACCTGACTAGGGACACATTTTGTCACAAATATTTTGCCTTTTTTCCCTCTTGGAAATTTATATAATAGGGACTTTATTCAGTTGGCAATTACTTATTCAATAGCTGTTAGGTTTAGGTCAAGTGCTGAGGCCTTAAGAGTGAACAGATAATAGTCCTGGCATCACAAATGAAAGCTACATGATCTCATTTGGGATCGTGCAAAAGAATAATTTAGAATACTTAAACATTTTGGGGAGCAAATGCCAATATTTGTTTTATAAATTACAAAACATAAATCCATAGATTTAGACTAGTGACCACCTATTTTTGTGATATATTTATAACATTAACCTAATAGTTATCCAAGAGCCTAGTACTATCACATTTCTAATAGCTTGTCCTGGCTTTTGCTCTAACTAATTTGCTCCCTGTTAACTGCTCACTTTTAGAAAAGTTCTCAACTGGCAACCAGCTAACTATTCTCATTATCAGTCTTAACTCTCATGGATCCCCAGAGTAGGGCAGAGGTTGTAGATGCTAAGTGCACATAATTTTAGGCAGTCAACTCCAGTTTTGTGGAACAAAGATTTAGTCAAGTTTCTTTTGGGTTCAAATAAACTAGGATAATTTCTGAACAACATTTTGGTTCATAATTCATACATAAACTTATTTGTGAGCTACAGTTCTACCCCAGTGAGACTTTCACATAACAACACTTCCCAAACAGGATTTCTAAAACAGAACTACTACTAATTAATAAGTGATTTTTAAAATACTAAGTAAAATCATCAGGGCAAATAATAGTTTTAAGGCAAATGGCATAGCTCTCAAGGGAATGTTAACAATAAAACAATCCTTCAGGTGTTACTGAGCAACAAAAAGAACAATACAGCAAAAAGTAGTTTTAAAAACTCCTTTATGAAAGTGAGTTTTTCTCGCTTTAATGCAAGTGTCATTGACGTATGACAGCTAATGAAAAACTAATGAAATACTCAAGTCTTAAACACTCAAAATGATTTTATCACCTTTTTTGGTTGAAATATCACCATCTGAGATACAGATATGACACTTATGACTGACACTGAACTGACATTTATGAATCTGAAAGAACAAGTCAAAAACAATTATTCCTGGTTGGTGGAACAAAATGCCTAAGTAAGGGAAATTTAGCTATTCTCCATAAGAAATGAGATTAACATTTTGTTAAATAGGAGTAAAGCCAAAGCCTTTTAGCTTTGACATAAAATCATGAGTCCTTTCACACAACTTTTAAATTATTACTTGCTATGAGGAGCTAGCTTGCCAAATACAATGTAATATGCAATCAAATATAAATTTAGAAATTCAACCTTTTTTTGGCCTTTAGCCCAAGATGGCCTAATTTTTTAAAATCTGGGTCTCAACAACAAAAAAGATGATAAAAGAGCATAAGTTTAGTTAGTAACCACCAGCCTGCATTTGATACAAATGTCACCTGTAAGTAATACCTAAAAAGCAAACCATTCTTTCCGATTCTCTGTATTACCTGAGTAAATAAGATAAGCGAGCAATTCTGATGTAAACATAACCAATTTATCACCACTTCACTCTGTGCCAAATACTTAACTAGGGACTTTTCAAGTTATCACAAATACCTCCCCCCACACCCACCCAAAATTTCAGAAAACTACATTTCTCAATTCTCTGTTCTCTTCAGATTAAAAAAAATTAAGTGTGTATGTATGCGACGAGGGGAGATTAGAAACCAAAGAATTTCTGAGACAAATCTAAATAAAAAGCAGAACCTGCCATAAATTACTCACGTTTAATTCCACCTAAAATAATTCACAGCGAGCTATCTCTTTAAGTCCATAGGACCTCATTCAAGAGAAGTGACTGCCAAGTGTCCTACAGTCACAGCCACAAAAATGTTGCTTTATGACTTATCTTTAAATAGAGGAAGTTCAGATTCTACTAAAATGCTCAAGTATCTTTAAAAGCAGATACTCATGTTAGTGCCTTTCCTGTTAGGTAAAATGCGATACAGTTCTATCCAGTCAGGTAAGAAGGCACCAAAAATTCAACAAAATTGCCACAAATATTTAAAAAGTTAAATTCTGACGCTGGCTAGAGGGCAGTAAAACAGACAATTCTTTACATTAACTCCACTGAACTGAGGCACACATACTCCAAGTGAGACAATGTTTCAGTGGCTACAATGTGTATAACAAGAACTGGTTTGTGTTTTGGCCCTTAAAATACAACTTTGCAGTCTTAAAAAATTAATCTCCAGTAAGAAGTCTGAGATATTGACGAAACTCTGGTTTCCAAATGAGAATTTTTCCTCAGAAAGACAGCTTGTGATGACGTTGAAGTATTTTTCATGGAACATGAGACGCAAACTTCAGTTACTTAATGAATGTTAAAAAGAAAATCAAGAAAAGACAACAACAAAAAAAAACTCATTTCGAGTTTTTGTATAATTTGGTTGAGTCCTGAATTACATACAACAAGGAAACATTTGAAAATAAGGTCATTAACGATTTCCAAATAGAGAAAAGTATTTACAAATGAATTCAGAGCTCAGTGTTAACATAAGCAGGCAAACACGGCAATGGTTTGAATTATAAACAGACGTGGTACCATATGCACTGAGACAGTTAATAACAAAACTGAAAATAAAACTTAACCATACCACCCAGGTTAACACACCCTTAATGGGTCACTGAATCTAGGTTAAAAAAAGAAACAAAAACCAATAAAAGACGGCCATGTTCTTACCAAACCAAGTCGAATGGAAAGGGGAAAAAGAAAAATTGCAAATATTTTGGGGGCAACCCATGAAGGGAAAGGACTGCTATGTGCTTCCCCTGTTTACTAACATTTAAAACGTCTTTCCAGCTGACACTTAGGCTTGAAAATTGCAGCGGCACTTAAGGCTGTCCTTTTGTAACGCCACCTAACAAAACATTCTGCAACCTCTCAAATAGTAAACACTAAAACGGAGCAAAGCATAGTCATATACTCCAACCCGCAGGGATCCAACGGGCAAAAATTAAATCTTTCTCCCTCCCATATATGGCGGTAACTACTCTCTTTTTTTATCTACTGCTCTAGTCTCGGGGTTAGGGAACCCTAAACTACTTTTCCTTTTTTGCCATTAATGGAAATGAGGGGGATGGCCGCGTGGAATCCAAATCCTGGGGCAAACGGAATGCAAAGAAGTGGTATTACTTGCGGGTGAGGCTTGGGAACACCCAGAGGGTTCGGCAAGAGGCAGACAATCCCACACGTACGTTCGCCAGGGCCCCACCACCTTCGGTGCGGGTGTGATCGGCACTCCCGAAGCGGGTGCAGCTTCTCCCCAGATACTCTGCTCCCCTTACCCACGGCGCCAGGCAGCAGACCTGGGGTGCGAAGTCCCCGGCTCGGACCGTGCAGCGAGGCCCGGAAACCGTCCCGTTAGAGCCGATTTCACCCGTCAGGAATGCGCTCCGCCCCGCCGCCGCCGCCCCTCGGCGTCCGCCCCGGGTCTCGCCCGCTTCGGGCCGGGGAGGGCTCCGGGGGCGCCGCCGTAGAACCCGGGCCAGCCTGAGCCCAAACCCGCAGACTCCGAGCCTGTCTCCGCCCCGGGAGCCGCGCGAGGCGGCGCAGGGCACAGTCCTGGGGTCGGCACCGGAGCCGCCCCGGCCCTCCCCGCCCCCACTCCCTCCCGGGCAGCCTCCTCAGGCGCCCGCGTACCTCCAACTCCTCCTCAGAGCGCAGGCGGCGGCGGCGCGAGGCTGCGGGGGCGCAGGCCCATCTCCCGGCGCGGCTGACGGGTAGAAAGACGGGCAAGGTGCCTCAGACTCGCAGCCGCGCCGCTCAGCCTCAGTCGGAGCCAGGAGCGCGGAGGGAAGGGGTCCCAAAAGCCGCTTTCGGCAACTCCTCCACGGATCTGGCTTGACGGCAGCTCCCGGGATCTAGCGCCGCAACTACCATTCTCCCCTCCCTGGGCCTCGCTGTCCCCGCCCCCTCCTCCCACTCCTTCCTCCTCTCTCCCCTCCTGTCCGCTCCCCGGACCCCGCCCCTCCCTGCCCTGCCCCGGCGCGCGCCCCATGCGTCATGGCGTCACGCCCACCGGGACGCGCGCGTTCGCCGGCGCACGTTCGCCCCGCACGGGAGCGCTCTCGCAGCGCCTGGGTGGCCGGGGGAGCTGCGGGTCCGCCCTCGTCTGGCGGGTATAGTGCTTATGCCTACCTTTCATCATGGCCCTGAGGGTGCTTTCCGTGGACAGGTGGGGGTGGATGGGCCACGCCCAAGGACACGGAGGCAGGGTCTTAGGACCCTATTTCTTGGCATTTAGCGTTACATTATTCATTCCTTTGTGTTCTCACGGTCACCTGCTTGATTGGCAGGCCCCGAGAGCGGAGCTGGGATGTACGGTACTTCAGTCCAGTACTGAAAAAAAGTAAGTCCTTGTCGATCTTTAATACCGCTGGAGGTACTTTAATTCAACTTAGTCTTTTTCACATCCCTTAGTTTATAAACCATCCATACAGTCTTTGAAATTTTTTAAACCTGTGCAGATCTTTCTTAAGCTGAATAAACAAATCCCTGATGGTCCTGTTTTTTTTTTTTTTTCTTAAAGATTTAAATCATTCTTCCTTGAATACTATGCACGAATGTGATAGATGCTGGACAAAATGTCCACCATCTGTTACTTAACTAAATATATCACCCTTTCAAGCCTTATTTTAGTGTGTGTCTGATTTAGATTAGAGACAAACGAAGGAGCATAGGCTTTTCAGACTACACTTGGTATCTTTGGTAACCCAGTAAATGTTTACTAATTAGAAAACTGAACAAGCTAGGCAGTTGAAGGTCTAAGTACCTCTGACCATGAATCTTGAAGGAAGTAACTATGGATATGTTTGTTTTAATTTATTGGAAGGTTTAGAACTGTTATAGATACCTTTAAAAGCTAGTTACAGGCTGCCAGCAATGTGATCTATGGGATAGTTTAAGCTTATGGATAGTACAAGAATAATAAGTTAAATAGATCTATGGATCAGTACCTATACAAAATCTTACCCTAAAATGTATCAACATGTTAAACATTTTAGCCCTGATGGAGCTGTGGTGTGTGGTTTTAAGTAAAGAAGTTCCACAGAATGAGAATGGTTTTATACTCTGTACAATTGTCATGTTTTCCAGAGATGCCTTTTCCAGCTTTTCTTGTCTCCTTGAAAGTTAGAGGGATTTTCTGCTCCTCACTAGGCCAACGTGAATCTATTAAGAAAGAACTTACCGAGCATTTCCACTTGAATCCCTGAAGGCTCTCCCCATCTCAGCCTTTGCAAGCTGGGATTTATTACCTTTCCCTTAAAGCTTATGCCTTCCATTCATCTGGACTCAAACCAGAATGTGGGATTCTGGTTCTTTAACCCCCACCAAACCCTGTTTTAAACCTTCTAAATATCCTGTGCTCTCTCTGCTATATCTCTCTTTGTTGTTAAGGTATCTTTTCAAGTTTGGCCGCATTTTAGAATCCCCTGCAGCACTGTAGAATACTCTTATGCACAGGCAGCGCCTGTCACTTATGTCAGACCCTCTGAGGGGTAGTGCTCTGCGCTAGTATTTTTGAAACTTCCTCAACTGATTCCAACACATAGTTGCGCTGAAAATCAGTGATGCAGTCTCATCATTTTCCATTGGATTAATGCAAAAACCCTTTTTAAATCCTGGCCTCTTAATTTTTAGCAGCATTCTTCATTATTTGTCTACTCTTGTCCAAATCATTTAACACCAGTGTATATTTCAGTGCCTACTGTCTTTAGAAGCATTGTTTATTGTTTTTAGGCACCATAATACAGTGATGAAAAAGACAGTACATGTATCTGCTCTTGTGAAACTTAACATTGGCAGGCATGGATGAAGGAAAACAAAAAGAAGAAAAGGAAATATGTTTTCCAGAGTGCAGTAACATAGATGGAAGCCAGAAAGACTGTTACTTTATTTTGGTCTAACTAAACTCCACTCCTCTGACATTTGAGCTGGGTTCTACAAGGCAAGAAGCAGGCAAATAAGTTAACAGGTGGGGAAGGCAGAGGAAAAGCAGATGTAAGAGTCCTAGCAAGAAAAAGTTGTCAAGATAAGGCAGCTAAAGCTGAAGCATAGCAAGAGGTACAGGACCATGATGTGGGGGTTAGAGAGGTAGGGACCAGGTTATTCAAGACCTGATAGGTCATGGAAATTACAATTAGAAATGTTTGATATGATGTGTGATAAAGCAGTAAGTTTTAAAGGACAGTAACATTGGGTTTAACTTTGAATGAATCACTCTGGCTAGTCAGATCATGGCAGGATAAGAATGTAAGTAGGGAGACCAGTTAGGAGGCTATTGAAATCATCCCACAGAAAGTGTCTTTGAAACAAAGTGGAGACTGTAGGGACAGAAATGCATGGTTTTGTTGTTTTAGAGATATAATCAGTAAGACCTTATGGAATGGAATAAAAGTAGGGAATGAAAACACGAATGAGAGATAAAATATTAGCTATTCATTAAGTACATACCACATGGACAAGCCCTATTCTGCTTTCTGAGTATTAAACCATTTAATTATTGTGAGAATCCCCAAAGGTAGGTGCTGTTGTTATTCCATTAATAAATTAGAATCTAAAGCTGGCAAGACTAGGAAACTCAGTTACAAAGCTGGTTTGTGGTGGAGCTAGGGCCTGGACCATTCATGCAGTCTGGTTCCAGAGCTCAGAACCCTTCCACACCTAACCAGACCCTCTCCATTGGTGTCACAGTCCAAGTGAAAATTTCTTAAGCTTCACTAAGCTCCTTGCAGTACCTTATATCCTCCTGTACTCCCCCACCCTAATTTTCTCTCTCTCTCTCTCTCTCTCTCTCTCTCTCTCTCTCTCTCTCTCTCTTTCTTCTCTTTCTTTTGAGGGAGGGCCTCACTATGTAATGCAGGATGGCGTTAAACTCACTCAGGTAGCCCAGACTGGCTTTGAACTCATGATGATCCCCCTGCCTCAGCTTCCTTACTGCTGAGATTACAGGCCACCCTACTTTTCTTTGTAGGTTCCACCTAACTGTGTAGCTGTCATTTGACCTAAAATGCCCACTCCCCTTTCCTATGTCTGGTTCATTTTACCAACTTGAATTGGTCCTCACTGGCTAAGTTAAGCCTCTTTGGCTCCATAGCAACTTTGTATTTTTTAAAGTTAATTTTAAAGAGGGTAAAACTAAACATAACAAAACAGAACAAAGCAGATCAGAAGAAAACAATGTAAGTGACACAGATTTCAAAGCAAGACAACAGGAGATGTACAATGGCTACCATGATGCCTCTTGTTTTCTTCTAAATAGTTGTCTATATCTTCACACACAATGAATTCGTACAAAACAAAATAGTGTAAAACTGATCAGAACAGAGTAATGAAGGTATTAAAGGCCTTCAAAACCAGACAATAGGAAAATCAACAATGGCTGCCATAATGTCTGTTGGTCTCTTCAAAATAGCTGTCCATACCTTCATGTATGTTGAGATTAAACAATAAAAGACTAAAACCACTCTGAACAAGAATAAAAGTATTACTGGATTTCACAGCATGGTGATACAGAATCATCAATGGATACCATAATGTCTCTTTTTCTTCAAAGTAGCTCTTCATTTCATCACACATAATATAATCGATTCTCGTAAACTTTGGGAGAATTTCTAGGCATGTATAAGTCTCTATATACATACCTATCCTTTCTGTATTAGAGGGAAAAACAAAACAAAATAGATTACTAAAAAAATAAGAAACAAAAAAGACAAATAAATAACAATAGCAAAGAGCCAAACAATGACGGGATAGATCTTCAAGCAACTTTGTATTTTACCACTGTCATTTTTTATTAAAGTGCTGTGTCAGCATTTGTAGGTCTTTCTCATTAAACTTTCAAGGCAGAGAGCTCGATCACTTACACTTAAAGGAGAGGACAAAGAAGCAAGCAAAGAAGTCTAGCTAGGCACATGTGCCATGTGGCCCAGGGGTGCTAAGAGATACAGATGTGAGAAAGAGCATAATCCTGTCCTCAAGCAGATTGTGAACTTGGCAGGGAAGTTGACATAACAAAACACTTCAATGCAAGTGTGATATAAACAACATATTATAGGGGCTGGGGATTTAGCTCAGCGGCATAAGCGCCTGCCTTGTAAGCAGGCAGTCGTGAGTTGGATCCCTGGTACCAATAAAAAGGAAAAAGACAAAACAAACAAACAAACAAAACCCACAAAAACAACATATTATAAAAGCATTGGTCAGGTATCACCATTAATTTTATCTGACGTCACTGGAAAAGATTTTACAACCAGAATGGTAGCTTGGGACTATACTCTCAACTGTTACTAATGTGAGTTGGGGAGGCAATATTGGGCTTTGCTTGCCCAAATAGACTTGGGAAATTCTCGCCTGGCACAGTTGAGCACTGGAATGTGCTACTTCTGGACCACTCAGCCTTGCCTATCTTTAAGTGATTACATGTACTGATTTCTAAGTTGGCTCAATTTTGTTTCCAGAAGAATCATTGATATTTCTTCTTATGTAGTCTCCTCCTTTTTTTCCCCATCTAGGACGTTTTAGTTTTAGTTCTAGCTATGAACTGTTGGGAAAGTTATGGAATTTGTGTGACGCATACTGCCAAGGCCAGTATGTAAGGCTGTGAAGGTTGTTCTTGTTTTAGGAGAGGGAAGGATTCCATGGACACAGCTCACACTGTACTCGGTGGCCCTGGATGTGCATTGCGACAGCCCCCACTCAGTGGGCTCACCCATCAAATGGAGGTAAAAGTGGTTCCTCCTCCATCAGGTTTACTCAGGGTGATATGGAAATAAGTACAAGCATAAGGCTTGGCTCATAGTAAATCAACAAGTGTTAGCTACTGGTACGTGGTAAAGGGAACCTTGCTAGAGTAGGCATTATTCCAAATATTATTAT